AAAAAAAAAAAAAAAAAAAAAAAAAAAAAAAAAAAAAAAATTGGTTGTCTGTCCTCACCAAAAACGTCGCCCCACTTTTTTCACATGCCCCCCCCCCCCCCCCCCCCCCAAACCCCCCGCCCCCCCCCCCCCCCCCCCCCCCCCCGCACGCTGCAGGTCTCGGGAGAACGTGCCGACTCGGCCGTGCCATGAGGGGCGATCCCAGCCCATAGATGTTTCTCAGGTTCCTTCAGTGCAAACTGAAATTAGCTAGAGACTCACGGGGGCAGGTCTCCTGGGAGACAGCAGACACCTGCAAATTGACTAGACAAATTCCTGGGATTAAAATAAATTAGTTAATCGGTTCCTTTGACTAACTGTTGCTGGGTGGGCATCTTCTATTTGTCAGGCCTGGGCTGGGTCCTGGGGAGACAGGCTTCTCCTTGAACTTGGGTGTGGGGCTGGGCAGTGAGTCAAGAACAGATTAATTACAATGGGATTTCAAGAGAGGGGCTGTTAATCCCCAGGAGCTAGGGACACAACCCAAGGGAGAGCCTGCCTTCCTATGCTGAGCTGTCCCCTCCTGCCAGTTCCCCTGACAGAGCCTGCCCACGCCGCGTCTGCCCTCCCCGCTCCTGGTTCCAAGCAAGACACAACTTGGCCAGGGAAGCAGGAACCCTGGTCCCTCCTCCAGGAAGGCCTCTGCTCTCCCACTGCAGGCTGGTGCCCCACAGCCCTTGCTATTGCACCTTTCTCCCCAGCTGTGACCTCCTCAGATCAGGGACAGCATCTGTGTCCCCGCATCACCCAGCACAGAGCCTGCACTGACTACCTGTCAGTGAACGCATGACTGGTGAACGATCCCTTGAATGAGTGCATTAAAAAATGAAGCAGAATCTACTGGGGAAAGGAAGAAACGAATCTACAGTGCGTAGGCCATTGATAGAAGAGAGGAGGAGGCCAAGAGAAGAGATGGATGAAGATATAGCAGCAACAACTTCTTAACAATTGGTGTGTTTATTAAGCACGTAGTATGTGCTGACGTGATACAGGGGGAAGAGCATCGGGAGTGGGTGTTTGGGGACCCTCGCCCCCAGCAGACACCCACAGGGCTGTGGGGACCTGACACCTGGGCCAACAGCCCTCACGTCTAGGACCCTCTGGGCTCCTGCCGCGGTGGCCCTGTAGTCGTGAGTCAGGCAAACCTGGGTCTTGGGACCATGGATTGAGCACAGGCCACACCAACCTGGCCGCTGTCTTCAGGAGGCCCTGGCAGGCCGAGGGAAGCGTGGAGCTCCCGGGCCAGTGGCCCCAACAAAGGCAGCCTGCTGGAAGCTGAGCGGGACCCAGAGAGGCCGCTGGGGGGACAATCCGACCAGGACCCTCCTTCAAGCCCCTCTCTCCTTCCAGGCCAGCAGCCAGGGCCATTCCTGGACTTCCCTGTTTCTCAAGCTAATAAATTCTTTTTCTGAAGCCAACTTGAAGCTGGTTTTCTGTAACTTGCAACACAAAGGCTCTTGACCAATACCTGCAGCTGGGATTCGCACCTGGGTCTGTCCGGCCCCATCTTTCTTCTCCACTTAAGCAGGATCCTGAGTAGATGGTGGAGCTCAGAAAGGAGCCATGGACAGAGGCTCAGGGAGGAGAGGGGGGAGACTAGCACATCAGAATGCAGTGGAGGCGGAGGCAAAGAGCGAGGCTGAAGGCTGCAGAGGGAGCCCCCAGATAGAAACGAGGTGTCAGGGATGCCAGGACTAAGCCTAAAGGGGTTGCAGAGGGCAGGCCGTGCTCAGGCCCTAGACAGGTTCTCCTGGTCCAGGGGTTATAAACTAGGATGTCTGGTCACCCAGAGCCCCCCCGGGCGCTCCCCGGGGCAAGGACGGGTCTTCTTAAGCTATTAAGAACTGACCCGTAACGCTTTACAAAGCAGGTAGATGTACCTATTCTGTTTGGTCGCCACGTCAACACCCTACGATAGGAATTTGATTTTTACTTAGGGATGAAGAGCTGGGATCAGAACCATGTCCCTTGCAACGTGTAGCTGTCCTGATGCCGAGACTGCGGAGACACCACGCGAGCTCTAGGGAGCCCTGCCCCACGCTGCGGGTTCACCCCAGGTCCGGGGCGGACCTCGGGCAAAGAGCTTGGAAGCAGTGCGCACGCGCGCCGCGCTCCTCTTCCGTGACTCCGACTACAAACCCCAGGATGCACCGGGCGCCGCGGCCTTTCAAACCGGCCAATGAGCAGCCCGCAGCGCGTCCGCCGCGGCGCGTTTAAACCCGGGACGGAGGCGCGTTGGCCGGAGCGTCGCGGCAGCTCTGGGTGAGGGGGCACCGTCGGGGTGCTCAGGCGTGGCGGGCGGCTCGGGCCGGGGATCCCGGGGGACTCGGGCGCGGCAGGGGCTCGGCCGGGGGGCCGCGGGGTCCCCTCGCGCGGTGCGGCGAGGACAGGGTCGCCCTGGGGGCAAACCAAAGCCCCCAGCAGTCCAGCCCAGGAGTTCGGTTGTCCGGGTCTGGGTCCGGGGCGTTCAGGCCTCTCTCGGACGGCGCCGCCCCAGAGCTCCCGGCCCGGAGGCGTGCGAGCCCGGGGTGTGCGTCGCGGAGGGCCTCGGGCTGCGGCTCAGGTGGCCTCTACCGGCATCCCCGTCCCTCCCTGACCCGCCGCGGCCGCCAGCCCCCTTTGCCTAGTCCGAGCTGCAGCGGCCCACGCTGCGAGGCTTCCCTGGGGCTGGAGGAACCCGGGGCCTGGGCTCTGACACCCGCTCACCTTCTTGCCTCTGGTCCCAGCAGTGACTTCTGACAGCCCTTGCCGCGCAAGGAGGGGACGGCAGCGACGTGCCTTCAGCCAGCCTGGCCCGAGAAGCGGAGATGGAGGTTCCCAAGAAGGATGGTACGTCCCTGTGACTACAGCGCTGTTGGTTCGGGGAGCTCAGGGAAGATGCAGGTCCTGCGAGAACTCGTTTATTTATTCACTGCTCATCCCGTGCTCTGCACCCGTTGAACTCCTGGTCCCTGTCTTCAAGGAGTTTGCATCCCTCTAACTTCTTTATTTTCCGCTTTTCTACATTCCCTTTACCCCCCAGTTTTAACTTCTGTCACAGCAGAGATTCTTGTCGGTTTTATTTACTGCAGTGTCCTCAGTGCCTGACACTTGATAGGCACTCGGATATTTGTGGAATTGAATTTGATGTTGCCATTTTTTTTTTTTTTTTTTGCTTGTTGCTGGTTTCTGTTGGCTGAGACTTGTTCACGATCTTGGCCACCACGTTAGTGAGTGAGCCTGGTCTGTAACTTTGCTGTCTTGTTCTGTTCCTGTCAGGTTTGAGTGTGGAGGTGACAGCAGACTCACAGAATGAGTTAAGGGCCACGCCCTCTTTTTCTGCTAAAGCGTGTTGACATCCTTCATCCTTTGTTCTTCACAACACCCGTGCGAGTAGACTGGGTCTCCCTGTATCCTTAAGTACTCCATTCTGCGGAAACCATCCTAGAGGATGCCAGTCATCGGTGCTGCTTCATCGGATCTAGAACAGTATTTGCCACTGCAGTCTTCTCCCCCTTCCTCTTCTATCCCCCCTTCCGAGGCCCTTCCACGTGCCCGCTGAATCCCCGTTGCTGCTTCCTGAGGCCTTCAGCCCTCTGTCACCCTCCCTTCGCATCCTTACTTTTTTGCCTGTCCATTAACTCACGTTCATCATCGACGTGCAAACAGGTCCCATTATCTGACTTGTCCCATATCCTCCGCTCCCTCTCCACTGCCGTGTGCCTCATTCAGAGCCAGACTTCAAGAATCTTCACTATTTTTTCACATCCTTCAACCTCTGCCAACCCCCTGTGCCCCGACACTCCACTCAAGCTGCCTTTATCCGTCACTGAGGACATCCGTGTTGCCAAATCTGCTCTCATTTTTCTGTCCTCTCAGTAACCTTGGACGTTGTCTCCTTCCGGAAACTTTCCTTGCTTGGCTTCTGAGGCATCTTGGTTTTCCTCCTGCCTCCCTGGCTGGTGTACTTCCATCTCTTTGCAGACTTCTCTTCCTCTCTCCGGGACCTGGTCTGGGGTCTCTTTGTACTTCCCCGCACAGGTTCTCAGACAGTCCCATGGCTTTAAATCCATTCTCCTTTCTGGTGGTGCCCACATTTTGTCTTGAGTGCAGCCTCTCCTCTGAGCTCTGGCCTTGTGTGTTCACCTGCCCTTGTACTTGGCATCTTCACGTAAATGTCTCCCACCTCTTAACTCAGCAGGTACCTGGCTCCCACCCCATTCTCAGCAGGCTCTTTGTCTTTCTAATGGAAGGAAATTGCCTCTCCATTCACCCAGCTGTGAAAGTTGTGAAGCTGCCACATCCGTTCAATCATCAGTCATTGTCATATCCGCCATATAGCTTGGATCCATCTGCCTCTTTCCAGTTCCACCCAAATGCCACCACCTTGGCCTCAGCCATGTTAACTCACCTCCACCTACTTTCTTGTTTTTTTAATATTTATTCATAAGTATTTTATTTTATTCTTTAATATTTATTTATTTATTTGGTTGTGCTGGGTCTTAGTTGTGGCAGACAGGCTCCTTAGTTGCAGCTCACCAGCTCCTTGGTTGTGGCACATAGGTTCCTTAGTTGCAGCATGTGAACTCTTAGTTGCGGCATGTGGGATCTAGTTCCCTGACCAGGGATCAAACCAGGGCCCCCTGCACTGGGAGCGTGGAGTCTTAACCACTGTGCCACCAGGGAAGTCCCTACCTACTTGTATACTTTGCAGTGTGTGCACTGTAATTTCAGTAGATACGACCTGCTTCTTTTCTGATACACTGTACACAGCCCCCAGGGTAACCTTTTAAACACAGAAGTTAGAGCATATCTCTCTTCTGCTTAAAACCCTTCAATAGCTCCTGTCCCACTTTGGATAAAGTAGAAGCCTGTC